TTTTAATGCTTATGTCAGGCTACAGGAAGGACTTCTCAACACCGGCCCCTCTACCTCAGATCAGAAGGTTCTGGTCTTTGATCCTGACCAGATATGACTTGCTGGCGGTAAATCAAGATGCCTTAATCTTAAAAAATGGTCACTGCAAACAGCTGAAACAAGGGAAGAACTGGAAGAAGCAGAGAATTTGGTATATGGAAAGATGTGGGTTTAAACCCCAGCTCTACTCTTTAAAGCGACCTTGACAAATCACTTCACCATTCAATATATATCTTGTATGTATCTACTTGTACTCACATGTTGCTTCCCCCCTTATAATGGAAGATCCTTGAGAGCTGGGACTATTTTTGGCTTTTTCTGAATCCTCCGAGCTTGGTAAAGTCTATTTACAAAGAGTCATCTTTCAGGTAGGAGCGCCTACCCTACAGCTGCTTTAAAAGTGTCTGAGGCTAGAGTTGAATTTAGGCCTTCCTGACTCCTACGCCCAGTGCTCTGTGCACTATGGCACCACCTAGCAGCCGCCTAGAAGTATATAAGGCCTTTCATTTTATCACTGACTTCTTTGAGGTATATGCCCAGCAGTGGGATCATTACTAGGTCAAAGGAACAGATATTTTAGTCACTTTCTTTAATAATTCCAAATTGCTTTCCAGAATATTTGAACCAATTTACAACTCCACCAACAGATTTCTACGATTTTTCATTGCAGAGAAATAGTGTTACAGTTACATTATGGGTTAAATGGTCATTTGTCAGCTAATCTAGGAGTCAAACCACCATTTTTAATATTTATCACTAGAAACATTCCTAATTCTAGCTGTGAAAGTGAATTCCAAGTCCAAATAACTTACAGGTGAACTTCTGACTCACAATCCATTTGTAGGCTGGGAACAATATTTTCTCAGAATCTCAGGCCCATGAAGAGTTAAATGCTCAAAAAATTAGGGAAAAACTCCAAAAATGTACATTAAGTGTTTCCTAGCTGGTGGTTCATAACTTGTGTGACGGAAGATGAGTCTTGGCCCCCTGTTTCTGGTGTAATTACCAGCAATGCAGCAAGACTGAATAACAAACCAGTTCATTAGGAAATCCACTGGAAACACTACAGCATTTCATAAACAAAACAATTAGGCAAAGATTTCCAAAGCCTCCCTCTAGTCCTTGGCTGCAGGGCCTACTATCCAGCCACATTTCAGCTGCTTCCATACTGCTCCATGCAGCTTGTGGATGGTAAATTGGCTGTGAACTGAGGTGGGGGTTGACTTTCAACCTTCAAGGGAAGGTCATAACCCAGAACTGAAACCGTGAGTTTCATATACTTAAAAAAAGAAAACTAGGATTCAAGGTACAAGACACTGAAGCGTGATGAAGTGTGAAGTGGTATGTTTTAGGAGGTCTCTCTTCATACTGGCCAGCTTTTCATCAGAAGACTCTTATAGTTCAGCTTCCATTTTCAAATTATACAATATAACAGAAAAAGTCTGGAGTTCAGGGGACCTTGGTCTGAGTACTGGTCAAACCACTAAAGATCTCTGTAACCTTGGACAAGTAACACTTATATCCTCTGATCCTCGAGTACCTCTTGTATAAAATGGAGAAAATTCTTGTACTACTGGTCTCATAGTGGAGTTAAATGAATAAAAAGCAACCACAGAGTATGGTTGTGCAGTGGAAAGAACACTGGTTTTAGAATCTGAGGTCTAAGGTTCAAACTCCTGCCTTAGTATTGATCAGTGCAGCAGAGCAGATAGACTGAAGGCCGTGGATCTGTACCCTCCTCCAGACACTTTCCTAGCCATGAGCATGGGCTAGAGTTGGCACCTCTCTGACCCTCAGTTTTCTCACGGGGCAATTAATGCCTATAAAGATCTGCCACACAGAGGCATTGTAAAGCTCAAGTGACACAAAGTGCATACAAGCCTTTTGCAAACCTTAAAGTCTTCTTAGCACTTTCAACTACTACAAATAATTATTACTACCTACTGGATCTTGGTTCACTTGTATGTTCCAATTATTTGTAAATATGTTATATCATAGAATCTTAGAGCCGGAAGGCCCCCTAAAGATCAAATATAATCCATTCATTTTAGAGAAAAAGAAACTGAGGCCTGTAGTGGAACAGGGTCTTACCAAAAGTTACAGTTGATATGGTCAGACTTGAGTTTTAGTACCACTTTGCATCAGGTATGGTGGATGCCACTGCCAGGCTGAGCTCAGGAGTCCTGAACTGCAGTGAGTTGGGCTGACTGGGTATCTGCATTAAATCTGGCATTAGTATGGCGAGTCCCAAGAACAGGGTGGGGAGTGGGAACAGGGGATGAAATGAGAGTGATAGGGAAGGGTGAGGTGCTAGGTTGCTTGAGGGAAAGCAGGTTGGTTGAGATCAGAAACAGTAGGCTCCCACACTGATCAAAGTGGGACCAAGTCCATGTATGGCCCCTGAACTTCTAGCCTAGGCAAGATGGGGAGACCCAGTATTTTTTTTTTAAGTAATTAACACTTTGGAAGCTGGAGAGAGACTACGTGGAGGGAGAAAACTAGGTTTTATTTAAATTGAAAATACAGATCGTTGTAAAGGTCTCCAGTCTCTTTGTTGGACAAGTGTTTTGTAAACAAACAAAAAAAATCTACCGTTGCTGATCTATAATTAATGGTTCCAAATTAAAACCTAGGAAGTTAAAGATGGGTTGTGCTAATATAAAAGCACGTACCATAAAAGAACAGATTGTCAGTACTGGAAGAGATCTTACCAGACCTCCTCATTTGTCAAATGGGGAAATTTGGGAACACAGGAAGTGACTTATCCATGGTCATAAAGCTTTAAAGACGCAAACCAGGTCTCAGGCCTCCTGATTCCCCCAGGATAGAAGTCTTTCCACCATGGCAAACTGCTTCCCCTATTTGTATATTGTAGACACCTGACTTGGGGAAGGCATGAAAGTGCCTTAGTGTTCTGAAGTGACAGAGATATTCTGAAAAGAAACTGGCAGGTTTGTGATCATGGAAAAAACATGTACCCCTTGTAGCTAAGACATTTGTTTCCAGGAGTCACCCAGCAAAGCATCTTCTGAGCAGGCTGGCAACTGTCACCAAGGAACCCCAGTGGAGGAAAATAAGCAACAAAGCTATTGTACATGCAGAGAGGCATGATTAAACAAAACGGCCCAAAGAACCTCCACAGAGCAATATGGCATGCAGGAGTGTTGGCTGTATTTCTAAATTGCTCCTGTTCTTTGGCAAGAACCAGAAAGACTAAGGAAATGGCCATTTCAAAATGGACAAGTACTTAGGAGGTAAAGGATCAAAATGAGGGGGAAAATATACTTTTCACCCCAAAATTATCTCTTGTCGATGCTGTCAGTAGATTGGGAACAGTAGACAGGAGAAGCTCCTGTTTCTTTCTCCTAAGTATAATGAAAACATTTTACAATCAAATGCCAATGATTAGATGATGGAAAAGATAACAGATGTTTTATTTCTAAGTTCTTAAAGAAGTGAGTGGGGACAGGGAGGGAGAGGGAATCATGCTCATCAAATGGCAGATCTAACAGAGGTAGGTAAGTCTGCCAAAGAGAAAAAAAAAAAGGAATCTCTGTAGTTCAGCTATAACTGGTGTTAGAAAGCATTCAGTGGTTTCAAGGAATCATAAAAAACACTCTGATGATGTTTGAAATGTACTGTCACTAGAATAACTAGAAAAATCACCCCACTCATCCACCACACCTGTCTAGCCAAGTGCGTCCTTATCAAAGGTGTACAGAGAAGCAGGTAGGAAAAGACTCCCACATTGGATGAATAGGGAGGGGAAAGACTCCCAGGCTGGATGAACAGGCCATGAGATTTGTTTCCCCTCTAGCATGTTTACTGCGACAAATAAAGATGCTTTAAATAACATCTGTAATAGTTTGTGAAGATTTCCTCTAGAGACAGAACTAGTTGCCAGTCACCAGTAGGGATGTATCAAGGGATCCACAAAGGGTGAGGATTTCTTTTAAAATAAGAAGCATACTGAAGCTTCTGTTTTCTAAGCATTTAAACTATTCTCCCTTACTTGTGAAGGAGAACAAAGTGGCTGGAAATGAAAATACCAAAATAATGTAACAGTTTTAGCACCAACTTCTAAAATTCAGTCCAAAAGACAGAATGGTTTGTGAAACAGTGAGTTTAGCTGGAATACAGAGCACCTTTGGACAGAGAGTGTGACATGGAAGTTAAAAAGGTGACTAAATCTTGGGCTGGAGAAGCGACTCCACTGTACCCTTGATAGACACTGGATACTATCTCCAGGTCTGGATACTTCCAAACTTCCAAATGAAGACACCAGGATGCTGAGAGGACTGAAAATCATACAATATATGGGTCAGCTGAAGAAACTAAATCTGTTTAGCCTGGACAAAAGAAGACTTGGAGTAGGACATGACTATTGTCTTATAAATATCTGAAAGGTAATCATGTGAGAGAGAAATTAGACTTGCTCTGTTTAACTTCAGAAGGCAGAAATAGGAGAAATAGGTTTAAGTTGCTTAGTGTCAGATTTCATTGTGACAAAAAGAAAAATACACTAGAATTAGACCCATGTAAAAAGGATTGGCCTCAGGTGGTAGTCAATTTCCCTTCAACAGAAGTATTCAAAGGTGGCTGGATGATTTGTTAGGGATATTGTAGAATGAATTCCTATTAAGGTACCAGATGGATTAAGTTCTCTCCAAGGGCCTTTCCAACACTATGATGCTGTGATACTGTAATGGTCACACATTTGTGGAAATGATCTAGAATTTAAGGTTCTGTACAATCTGGCCCCAACTTCCTTCCCAGAAGCATCTTATATTATTCCTCTTAAAAGAGCTTTGTATTCCAATCAGACCGAGCCAACTATTCCTCAAATGTTTGCTAAGTTTTTTGGTTTTTTTGCCTTAATGTCTTTGCTCCTGCCATTTTCTACACATAGAACATCTCTCCATCCAAATCAACTGAAATCTTCCCCATCCTTTAAAATTTACCTCAAATGCCAAGTCTTCCATGTAGACATCCAGAATTTTTGCATCCTAGACAGAAATAATAATTTCTTTCTGTGAACTTTCATAGCATTTTGTTTATACTTTCCTTATATGTTTTCACACTCTATTTTTAATTATACATATTTGTGTACGTAGTTTTATTCTCCTCTTCTAGTCTGTAAGGTCTGTGAAGACAGGGATTTTGTCTACCTAATAAGTTTCTTGCACATGGCAGTCACACAACAAATATTAGCTAAAATGCATTTTACAGCTTAAAAAACCCCCATATTTCAGAGATTATTTCAAGTCAAACAATCAAGAATCAACATAAAACTGTGGGGAAAAAATAGTAATTATGGCCACAATGTCAGTCTAATTGTACTTAGCCTATACCTTGAGGGGAGATCTATTTCAGAAAGACAGTTTTAAAAAATGCTTAAAACCAAGGAGTCAATTTGAATATTTTCTTCAATGTGAACCTGAGAACTGAGGAAAAATAATAGCTCGTGTCTATATTATGTTTTAAAGTTCATAAAGAGTTTTACACACATAATCTCATTTTAGCCTTATGACATGCTCTGAGATAGGTTCCATTATTGTCCTCATTTTACAAATGAGGAAACCGAAGCTCAAAGGATTTAAGTGATTTGCCTACAGTCACATAGCTAGGTTCTGAGAGCGTTCAGACATAGGCCCTTCTACTACCAAATGTCATTTAATCATTTTTCAGTTTTGTCTGATTCTTAGTGACCCCAATTGAGTTTTCTGGGCAAAGATACTGGAGTGGTTTGCCATTTCCTTCTCCAGCTCATTTTACAGATGAGGAAACTGAGGCAAGCAGAGTTAAATGACTTGCCCAGGGTCACACAGACAGTAAGTATCTCAGGAGTCTTCCTGACTCCAGGCCAGGCACTCTATCCACTGTACCACTCAGCTGCCCATCAAATATAGAACTCTATGTACTATGCCATTCTTTAGTCCTGTTTTCTAAATTTTCTAAAGTGCATCCGGGATGGTAGAAGAAAGGAAATTCTGATATGCGCTTCAGAAACCTCAGGACACAGTTCGTTTCATTGTCTGGTGACTGTGGACAAGAAAAGACCCTAACTACCTTCTCCCCTCAGAAGATTCCAGCTTCCAAAACTGTATGATTCTTAAACAGAAAATCCTCACTCACTTTTAGAGGCAGCTGGTGTTAAAAGTAAAAAGAATACTGAAGCTGAATCAGAAGAACTAAGTTCAAATCTTGCACCAGACACTTACTTGTTGTACAACCCTGGGCAAGTTACTCAACCTCCCTCAACCTCGTTTTCCACATCTGTAAAATGGGGATAATAACAGCACCTAACTCCCAGAGTTGTTGAGGACCAAATAAGATATTGGCAAGACATTTTGCAAACCTTAAAGTACTATATAAATGTTAACTATTATTATTACTGCTATTGCTACACAAAGGCAGAGGGATTAGTAAATTACAGAGAAAATTTACAGAGTAAACAACAAACCACAGTGAGCATATACTTTACATAGCAATGTACTACAAACACATAACATCTAATACCATAAATCCCAGGATTGATGAGGCAAAGAAATAAGATGAGACCATGTAAAACTAGGTACCTAAGGATTCAAACAAGCTGGAAAAGCAGTTTTTTTTCTAAGAGGTTCCATCCTCCCCTGCTTCTCCTTTTCTCCCACCTACCTTCTGCCACCTCCCTTTGGGCCTCTGGCTAATCATCTACAGCAAGTGAAATCATTACCCAACAGAAGGAACAAATAGTTCTTAGAACAGCAAAACCAATTTGATTCTCATTTTACAGTAATTCAGTGCAATGTAAGCCAAGTTGCATTATTAGAAAAGGTCCCTTTCAATCCCACTCCACCATCACCACCCAGCTGCCTACATGTATGCTGAATGGATATTTGAAGACTGGCTGCAGACACTAAGGATGCAGGGTAATACCAACAGATCAGGCCATCTGTGGGAAGAGCACATTGTCAGTACACACAGGGAAATAATCGAACACTTCCTCCTTATCCCAATATCAATTCTACTCAGCAAAAATACTCTCAAAATTCTTCCTTCTGAATGAGAAAGATACACCTAGCCTCAAAGTTTAGTCATTAATGGTTCCATGTTGACTTGGAAACTGTTTTCTAATGAAGTGTCCCAGAGATTTATGTTTGATCTGATGAAATTTAAAGCTTTTATTGACAACTCTGATTTAGGCATAGATAGCATGCAGATGACACAAAAGCGGGCTAGTCAACGCACTGTATGACAGAGAAAGGATCCAAAAACGTATCAATAAACCAGAACAACGCACTGACTCTATTAAGTTAAAACTTAATAGGGTAAATTGAAAGTCCTCCCTCTAGGTTCAAAAAAGTAACTTCACAAATACAAAATGATGAGTCATGACTAGACAGCAGGTTTCTCTAAAAGAGATCTGGAAATTTTAGTGGATGCAATGAATCAATCTTGTGATAAAGTAGCCAAAACAACTAATGCCATCTAAAGGCCAAATGAAGAAAGGCTTAACATCTAGGATTAGGGAGGCAAGGCCCTGACCCGCCCCTCCAGGCCTTCCCCACTCTACCCTAGGCAGAATATATCTAGAGTATTTGATCAGGATTTGCTGGAGAATATACAGAAAAGAGTTAACAAAATGGCAAAAGGCATTCACTCAAATCATCCCATACAAGAAATGGTTGATGGAACTCAGAATATTTGGGCTCAAGAAGATATAAGAGTTACATTCAAGTATTTGAAAGACTGAATGAAGAAAGTAGACTCTTTCTGTTTAGCTTCAGAGGTCACAATAGGATAGGAGCAATGGACCTATCTGTACAAAAATATTTTCAGCAGCTTTTTTGTGACTGCAAACAATTGGAAATTGAGGGGACATCTATCAGTTGGAGAATGGCTGAACAAGTTGTGGTATATGATTGTAATGGAATACTACTGTGCTATAAGAAATGACAAGCAGGATGATTTCAGAAAAACATGGACTTACATGAACCGATACAAAGTGAAATGAGCAGAACCACTGTACAGAATATTGCACACAGTAACAGCAATACTGTATGATGATCAACTGTGAATGCCTTACTATTTTCAGCAAGACAAAGATCCAAGACAACTCCAAAGGACTTATGATGAAAAATGCTCTCCACCTCCAGAGAAAGAGCCGATGGAGTCTGAATGCAGACTGAAACACACTATACAAGATTAATATGGAGATATGTTTTGCATGACTGCACATGTATAATTTATATCAAATTGCTTACCATCTCAGGGAAGGATGGAGAGAATTTGAAACTCAAAATTTTTTTAAAATGTTAAAAAAAATTTTTTTCATGTTAATTGAGGAAAAAATAAATTATTGTTTAATAAAAAAAACTCTAGGATAGTTTCAAAGAGGCAACTTAAAGCTTGATACTAGGGGAAAGCTTCCTAAAAGAGCTATCCACAAGTGGAAAGGCCTACCTAAAGAAGTAGTGAGATTCCCCCTTACTGGAGGTCTTTGAGCAAATGGTGGATCATGCGTCAGGCAATCAATTATAAAGGAGATTCTTGGAGCAGATAACCTGAAGTTCCTTTCAATTCTGACATACTGTGAAGTACCTGTTCCCACACACACACACACACACACACACACACCCCTTTATTCTCTGTCTCTCTCTGTCTGTCTCTCCCTAAAGAAGCAACCAGTCCAGAGGGAGACTGGCTTGGTTTGGTTAACTAAATAAAGGAAATATTCTAGCTGGCTCCCCTAACCTCCAAGCCAAAAAGCAAACCAAAAAAACTGTCTTTAATCACATATAATAAAAACTTTCCCCTTTTCATCACTCAATTGAAAATACTCTCTCTAAAGTTACTAAAGATCTCTTAGTTGCCAAATCTACTTGCTACTAATTTTCTCGGTCCTCATTGCTGACTTCTCAGCAGTTATTAACACTGCCAATCATCACCTTCAATTTGATGCTCTATGTTTTCATGATACCACTCTCTGGTGCTCTGTGTCTCCCTATGAGACTACTACTTTTCACTCTTCTTTGCTAGCTATTCATCCAGGTCACTCCTGCTGACCATCTTGTGCTGATGTTCCATCTTGAGTCCTCTTATTCCTCTATACCATAGAGCTCAATGGGGAAGATAATAAGAAAGTATGTAGGTGGCACAAAGTCCAAAGGAACTATACTTTTGAGTACTTAAAGGACTGGCACATATGACTGCTGGGCCTGAGAATGGAATGAGTGCTACAAGACTACAGGACTCAACTTCAATTCTTGGTAGAAGTCTCATTCAGGTACGGTTTGGACTTGATGGACACTGAGGTCTCTTCCATCCAGAAGACTGTGTGATTTGGTAATCTTCATATTCTAAATGTCTAACAATAGCAAAGGGACTAGAAACTTAACCCAGGGAGAAGTGACAAGATAAAAACTTTAAACCACAGTTGAAGATGGAGCATTTTTCTTCTACCTCAATGTCCTGTATAATAGCTTCTCAAATAATAAAGACAATAGCAGCCAAGACTGTCCATAGCTAAAAACAACTAACAAGCAGGGGAACCAAATAGAGAACAGATGTTCCAGAACGAATGCCTCCTGGGCGGAAAAGCAACACTTTTTCCCAATGATAGGAAGTACTACATATGTGAAATGCCCTTAGGCTGATAGGAAGTCTGGTAAAATAAAAAATGGTACAGATAGAAATCACTTAGCTTAGAGAAGCTAAATTGTTGTCTCCCAACAAAAGGAAGGTAGAATGCCTGCTGGCTGAGCAGACACATAATGAGGGTTAATGGTGATAAAGTGCCTAAAAAGGAAAAACACTTTACAAACAGTATTATCATAGAACATCACTATTGTTACTAAAAAGCCCATTTCCCATTCTACAGATGAGCTAATGATATAATGCCATGTTTGTGCTCAAAATAAATAGTTTTTGCTACTCTACCAAAAATTCAAGAACAGAGACCACAAAAGGCCAAGCAAAGGCCGAAAAAAGTGAAATTTCAAAGAAGTTCACTATAAAATCC